TTATTTTCCTTAATTTAAAGTTAATATTGTTTAACTCAATTGTACTTATTAACATTTAACTATTTATAAGCTAATTTTAATATTTTTGCTCTGGAAAATTTATTTTTTATAATAACGTATCTAAGAAATACGCGCGACCTTTCTTGTTGGTGCAGAAGGCGCCCCCGCTGGAAAGTTAAATTGAAGCGTAAATTGAAGAATCAACAGAAGTAAAAAGTATGATAACATTAGGGCAAATAAGTGACTTTTAATGCACATTCAAATTAAATCAACTGTGGAATGGGAAATTACCATAGCCTTGTTTCAATCCTGGCTTTTCTCAACTAAGCACTCTCGAAGAAATCGCAACAGGCAAAAAACTTTGCCCACATGTTCAGTTGCAACAGCAAGCTGCTTAAAATAAATAAAGAAGCAGTGAGCTTAAACTGTAAAACGCTAATGGAAAAAAATTAAAAGTAGATGCTTATTTATGCTTTAAACTAAATTGCATTATGGTCGAAGTTGAGGAGAGAATAAGTTAGTGAAAATCCAAAATAAAAAGATAACTATATTAGCTTTCAAAACGCCCACCTGATAGTTATAACTTAAGGGAAATATACAAGACCAATGAGTATACATCCATTGAAATTCAGTAATTTTTTTAAATTGTCTTCGAGAAATATGAGATGATCCTATAAAACCTCAAAAGAGTTAACGACATTTAACATTAAATCTTTCCTAATTCATTAGAGAACTTACGTTATTTTGATGCGGGAGACGTGAGAAATGAGCAATGTCCTCACCGGGACTGGAATCTGGACCTCTTGTATACGCGCCGAGTGTGCTACCGTTACACCGCAAAGGCATACAGGAAGGAGGGAGAAAATGCCTTATATACTACCCCTTTTAAAGGACAACTGGAGATTAGGGGATTGAACAAATCTTGGTGGTGAAGAATCATCATAGAAAAGCCGAAATATTACTGTAGTGTAATAATGTGCGTATTTTACCTAAAGACTGTAAAAGATATACCTAGCAAAGTATTTTCAAAACGACCGTAGTTTTTGGAAGATGTTGATATATTTATACATTATTTAACACTTTGACAGCAACGTCTTTATAAGAAAATCTTCTCTAGGCTACCAGCGCTGCTATACCTTGTGTTAATGGTTTCCGATAAAAGGAGTTTAGAACTTCTAGATCGAAACGTTTTGAGATATTCATTCAGTTTAAAATCTTTCCTCAGGAACGAAGTATCTAAGAAAGAATGTGACATTCGAAGATTATTTCTCCTTTCCAAATATGTTTTCCTGTAGTAAGAAAAAAAATTGAAATTCTGTGTTAAAATTGATCTTTTTCTGTGTATAAAGTTTTTTCTGTGTATAAAAGAAAAATTAAAGTGTAATTTTTAAGTGAATCTTATAGCAGTGAAGAATAAACCTGTTGCGAGGCTTATAAAAATCTGAACAGTAGAGATGAGGAATAGTCGAGAAAAGATAATTATAAACGAAACTAGATCTTCAGCTTCTGATTCAAACACTGATTAATGCAGTGGTATAGATACTGTTGATCGTATTTTATGAGAATCGGTTGTTTAGGAGGAAAGTAAAGTTGATACACAAGAAAGCACAATTCAATTTAGTGATCGAAATGAACTTAATTGTCGGCAAAGATTATTTTCGTTTCTTTTTTTAACAATCAACAACGATTTTTTTTTCAAACACCTACTTTACCACTTAAGTACTCAAAAAACTGTCATTCGAATACAGATGACACTATCTAATCAGAATTTTTCCCAACTCCCAAATATGGGTGACGCGGCATGATCAGAATTTTTACCGTCACCCGAATGCGGTTGACGCGACAGTCACAGTGTTCGTTAAGAACACATTTCTTAATATTGTACTTTTATGGTAAATGGCAGGTAGTATATTTTCTATTTACGCAGTGAAATTCGTTTATGATATTAATCCTATCCTAACTTTATAAACTCCAAATATATTTAGTTCCACCATCCAAGGTAGGTACTGGTAGTGGTAGTTCGTTTTCTGGCGCAAAACCTTAAAGGCTATATGCGCCGTCACCATCCAAGGATATCCGTCTCATAATTTCAACCTTATAATTGTTCCTTTACTCATAATTCTTTCCATATTAATGACTCTTTTGGCAAAGATTCGTAATAAGTTGGGAGGATTATTCTTACTATGCTATCTGTATAAGAACTATCTGTATAAGAACTATCTAGCATTCGACTGCTATCTGTATAAGAACCGGCGTGACTTCCTGGAAGCATTTTGAAGCGAAATTGACTCATATTCATTTTACATTATAAATTGCGAATAGAAGATTAACTATACTATGAATTATTATACATTGTTAACAAATATTATTCAAAAAATAATTTTCGTATATTGAATTACTTAAAAACAAGAATTTGAGTTTAAATGTTTTGCTAGTAATAAATCTTTTTTGCCGTACGTGAATTCAGGAAAGCTTTCAGACGTTCTTCTTGGTAGCATGAAATATGGGCTATACAATAAAGAAACTTCTAGCTTATCTAAGATTATCTAAGAGATTTACAACTAACACATTCGACTGCTGGTGACTGGTGATTTACTATTTGCTTTTCATTTTTTAATACAATGTATGTAGAATTTTCTACAAAATTTATTTGATTTTTCTGAAATATTTTTCTATACATGCAATTCCAACCTCAAAATTTCTCCAAATTATCGTGAAAACTTCATATGACTACAATTATGAAAATGACTACAATTTCAAAATCTGTGTGGGTGAATTACATAAATATAAAACTTAAATTTAGTTTGGTTTGGTACGATTTTTTTAATTATGGCAAAGCACTCTAGGACTATCTCTTAAAGAGGTCGGATGTCTTCGTTGAGAAATTTTCAAGAGAAACTTTCTCGTATACACGTTACATATGAGAAAAACCATGAAATCGCACATGCAGTCAACTCGTTCGCCGGGAGTCAAATCTGGAACGAACTACCAGTGTTTAACGAGTTTTACCACTACGCCATTAAAATTCTCTTTAGTACCCCACAGAATAAAAGGTCCAAATAGTAAAATGCTAGTTACATTTTAATAAAATTAAAGCAGCATCTTCTATACATTACTTAAAATTTTTTTGAGACCTTAGGAATTAGTATTAAAATTAATTAGGTTAATTAAAATTAATTAAAGGGTTGGTTCAAACATAATCAGTAATGCTGTTTTAGCAGAAATATAAACTTAATTGCCCAACCCAGCCCATGTACAACGCTTGATAACTTCTTTTTGAAATCATTTAGCAAAACTTATTCAGAAGTAATCTATGCCAGTAAATTAGTTCTTGAATATATCCGCAAGCATGTGAATATTTTACTGCTTGGACTTTTGCTGAAATTTCTTTCGCAATATCCTCTACCTTATTCTGAGAGACATTGTTACTGAAAGTATGCATCTCATTTTATATCATTCATCCATTTAGCGTCATTATATGCGAAAATTAAATCTGCAACCTTCTTTTTCAAACACTCTGTTTTAAAGTACTTAAAAACGTTATATGAGATGAAGATTAAAGGTAATTTATATGCTGAAAACCTTTGTCGAGCATGGATTTGTAGAATGCGGTTTCGTATACGCGTTAAATTAATACTTTCCATGTAATTTGGCCCAGCGCTAGAATTTCATTCATATTCAGCGTTCATTCATTAACATGGAATGCTTGCTGGCATCACAGAAGTTACCAATAATTTTAAAGGATTTCTATGCACTGAAAGCGACGCTTAAGAAATCGTACAAATTGCAAAAGCATTTAGAGGTGAAGGATTTTCAGATATAGAAGAAGGAGAAGTCAATTAATCGAGAAATAAGGAATGAAGAAATGGATGATCACCAGCTGACAGTGAATGTTGTGATAATGAAGAAAATAAAACGCCTTTAACTTCCAAGAAGTTAAATGAATTACTTAAAAAGGCCCAGGAACTGTCTGACTCTGCAATAGAGACTGACTAAAATAAAGAAATAAGAAGACGCTTTATATGATGGACATTGAAAAATATTGCGCTTTATACCGCAAAACATTTAAAGAGCTGCGTCAGCCATTGTCCTAAGAAAATATCTCCCAACATTTTTTTAAAAAATATTGTGTCATTATTTATTAAAACAGTAATAAAATCATGCAATTAACATTTGTTTCTTATTCTTTCATTTTAACTACAAGAAACAATTGCGTTACTTTAAACCATACTTACACTTTTAATCTTAATTATACCTAACACAATTTTTTTCATATAAAGTGAATTTGGCGGAACGCGATTTTGCCATACATGCGATGTATTGATGATGTAAACATCTCATCCGACAAGGCTTAGTGTGCAAAGAAAAAAGTGAAAAGAACTGTGAAAACAATTTAGATATTGCAAATTTAGATAAATAACATTTTGTACTTTCTAACATGGATCTTCTTTAAATAAAATCTGTAATTCGAGAGTATCAACAAAAGAAAAGGATTTCAATTTCCAATCTCTTTAAATTTTACTAGACATACTTAAATGTGTTCTTTGTTAGCAGCATCTTTAAGAAAACATACTTGAATTTTCATCTACAGTACATGCACGTAGAAAAATGGCAGCAGATTTAGGCTCTAAAATGTTGTTTTTAGATAATTTGTTTCGACAGACGATTTTATTTAGATGAATTTTATTGTTATATTGTTGTAAATATTTGTAACCATTTTAAGGTTTTTAAACGCATATTTTTTCGGGCTTGTTGCAGTATTTAGTTTTTCTACTTCTTTATTCGTTATTTTCAGAAAAGTAATTTTATATCTGCTTTTGTGTTTTATATTTTTATGTTCTTTTGCTGTATAAAGTTGTAAATCTTTTCTTCCGAGTGCAACGGCTTTGGAATTGTAAAAATATTGAAATTGGAACTCAAGATAGGCAGTTACGTTCTTAAAGAGCTTCGGCAAAAATTTTTGTCTCCAAGTTGGCGACTTTTTGCGATCTGTCGCTAACATGGCGACTTTCTGGAAGATTCCTGAAGACTTATTTTTGAAGCTCTATAGCTGTTTCTTCCAGCAGTTTCCAGATCCCCTGCTGCAGCTACAAATGCAGGTCGGAGAGCTAGAGACTTCAATTGTGAATCACTTGCGAAATAATTGTGAGACTTAGCGATTAATTAAACTACGATTTGAGGGTTTACCCTGAGAGTGATTTGAGGAACTTTTAATTCATTTCTTGCGCTAAGAAGAATTTACTAATTACCCACGTTCTCCGCTTTCTTTCGTTTATTTTTGACCATCATTGTGATGTGTGTATTTTGTAATTCGAGATGATTTCTTGCGTCTATTTTCCACAAGACACTTGTGTCTATTTTTCTGATACCTTTTTTAAATTTCTTTCTGCTTACCTGGATTTATTAGTTAAGAAACATCAGTGATCTCGTAAAGCCAAACAATATACTATCTAAACTCAATAGCTATTAGTACATCCTCTGTATCGCCGAAAATTGTATAAATCTCAATATAGTAAAACAGTGTATTTTCTGCAGGTTGTTTAATGAGCAACAAGCCAGTATTTAATTCAATCAAATAAATGCAATAATTCATTAAAATTGAAAGATACAAAAATTAAACTAGTGGGCCTTTTGGGATACACCACAAGTTTCATTTTCATAGAAATATATTTTAAGTTTCTATTAATTTGAAAATTAGAATTTAATGCTCATCTATTTATTATTTAAACTTTATTTCGCTTTTTTAATGCTGTTGCATACTATATGTTAAAATAAGACATGTAATTTATATTTAAATGTTAAATATACATTATTAAGATACGAAAATAAAATTTTCACATCTATTTATCTTGCAGTTGTCAATCAAAAATATGAAATCCGCTTATCTGATGAATTCGTATTGCGTGGAAATATAGCGCTGCTCCGATGTCCAGTTCCAAGCTTCGTCAGTGATTACGTCAAAGTGACATCATGGGAAAGAATAGATGGCTTCCTAATTACTCCAGGCATTATAAGCGGTAAGTGTTTAAACGTGTTTCGTAACTACTGCCTTGAATCATATGCAAATACTTCTGATAGTAATGTCACTTACTTTGATTCTTCTCCGCATTACTGGAACTGAGAGCAGACAATGGAGCTGTCAACTGACCTTTTGAAGAAGTTATATTTATCTTATTTTAGATGACCATAAATAATCTAGCTGCTTATTTTATTAAGAAATGTATTATCACTGTAATTTCTACAAAATGAATACTTAGAAAAGATTACCGTCATTTCTCTTTTACTTTGTACGAAGTAAAGGAAGCATTGCAATCGCGAAAGATTTCAGTTATCAGATTTCAACAGAAATATTCATTTTGACTGTCCCGGAACCCATTTTGAATGGCATCTGTAAGCACTGGCAGAATAAAGGACTTTTTTATTTCAAAACGAATTCTAAAATCTATGCAAACTTGATTCAAAATGGGATTTTTCAGTATGTATCTTACATAACTAAAAAATAATTAGTCGTAGAGCATTAAATTGTGTATACTGGACTGCTATAGCCAGTTACGAAGTTCCCTTTTTTATTGCAATTGGCAACACCAGAAGTATATATATGCCTACACGCAGGAAAAAGGAGTGAATATACCAGCTTAAAAGTCTTTACCGGGCTTTATTTTCGTAATCGTTGCTCATAGTCATGTACTTTCAATTACAGAAGTATTTTATATGACAAATATATTCATGTTTTAGGAATGTCACGCTTAAATTAATTTTTGAGTAATAACGAAATCTAACTTTTAATGCGGTGTCCTTGTTTCTATACATGTATTAGGTAAAGTTTTATACTTAAGAGAAAATAAAAATATAAGAAGTTTGATTCCCGTGTGACAAAAATTGTGCAGGATAATTTCAAAGTCCGTCGTTTTTGATGGAATTTTCAACACGTTCTTCAAAACGTGTATATATTTTTTGTATATCAATAAATTTTTCCATGCAAACAAATAAATTAAATGGCCAATTAGAAGCAAGGAATAATGCAGAGAAGATTCCCCATTCCCTATTGCTCTGACCTTCTTTGTGTTTGTATTGAAGATTTAAAATTTCATTAAAAATTTTTTCTAATAGGTAAAGTTGTTTAATATAATAGTTTTATTATATTATTTACCTGTTGAAAGTCGTTACAAAATCATTTCTTAAGATTGCTTAATAATTTTTTTCTTGTTTAATCAATATATAGCTCATATACAGATATGGTCACTAATATACGGGTGACACGGTCTGTTCAGTACAAGTGCCATGGCTTGTTCAAAGCAATTGAGGTGTAATCCGAATTCAAGTGACAAGGCAATCCAAATTTTGAAATGTCTACGTATCAAATGGAGAGATTTTATAACTATAGAGAAAAAGATGTAGCAGTCTAAGATTTCATTTTTCGAGATACTGGCTGTCAAAATTTAGCTAAGGGTAGAAAGACAGTTTTCCTGTGATTTGTCTTAAAATATTCCAAGTCGATTCCTTTTGCGAGCGAAGCTAATCTTACTTGCGAGGCATAGCATTTGGAAAAAGTTACGCGGCAATAGATTTAGCTCTATATGTACACTGCGTGGGAAAAAAAAGGGGGGGAGGGGGCAATTTTATATCTCTCGTTCCGCTGGGCCGATTGACGAAATTCAAATTGCGTTTTCCATGTCTCGAAAACGTGACTTAGGTTATATATAGCTTTGTTCTAATGTAGGTATTTTGACACAAAATAGAATTTTTTCTGAAATAACATACTACCTTTTTTCCATAATTCTATTCTACTACTCGAATTATACCTAAATATTAAATTTTTTAAAATTTGGAACGAAATTTACGGAGAAATTAAAAAAATTTAACTTGGCGCATTTTTTGCAGTTTAAGCCAAGAATAATGGCGAACTTCTATTAATCTTCCAAGAATAATGGCCACTTGGCGAACATCTTAATATATGGCAACTTATTTTCCTTTCCCTTCTATTGTTCAGGAGCGGAAAAAGAGTCATATTGTTCCTATCTTTTTACATTGTGGATGAGCGTAAAAAACATCACATCGTATCCTGCTTTCAAATAATTTCAACAAACTGCGTAAACCACATTTTCGTTATTATCGCTTTCAACAAATGTGCCAAATTTCACAATGCGCCAATATATACGTATATCATCGAAAATTTTGAATAGAAAGTTCTAAATTTTTCAAGGTATGCTTAGCAATACATCTACTTTAAGATGATTGTAAATATTTTATAGGTAGTAATTCAAAATCTTTTTCGTAAAATTTATGAAGAATATTTAAAAATACAAATTTTAAAAAGAAATAAAAATGGATGAAATTTATTTTGAATGAACCTAAATTTCGAACCTTGTAATAAGGAATGAAATAAGTTTCATATAAAAAGAGATATTAATAAATACATACGAAACTGAATTAACATTGAGAAGCTAAGTTTTTAAAAACTACTCGTGCGATTTTTACAAAACTTGGGAGTTTGGTATAATTTGAGTCGTAGAATCGAAATATAGAAAAAAATGGCATGTCATTTCAGAAAAAGTCCGATTTTGTGTCAAAATACCTATATTTGAACAATGCTACATATAAATGTAATACATATCCTAAGTCGCGCTTTCAAAACATGAAAAACGCAATTTGAATTTCGTCAATTGGCCCAGTAGAACGTGAGATATAAAAATGTCCCTTTTTCTTTTCCCCGCAGGGTACTTGTATATGTCAAGTTAAATTGATATATATTTCATATATATATTGATTTGGGTCATATTTTCCTTAAATTTTACCTTAAAAGAAAGTACATGTATTTGTGTATTTTATTTATATCACTTAACGTTCACTTATAAAGAACACTTTCAAACATATCAAGTTTCTTCATATATAATTCCATCTTATATTTGCATAAATGTTGTATTATTTCGCAGTGTATTATTCACAAAACATTTTCCTAATATTAACTGTATATTATTTCCCTTAAACTTAAAATATAATAAAATACATGTACTTTGCTTAACATCATGCATTTGTGTATTTTATTCATATCACTTAACATTCCTTCGTGTAGAACACCTTCAAAAATACCAAGTTACCTCATCTATGATTCCATCTTATAGTTGCATTACTATTGTATTATTTCGCAGTGTATTATTTACAGAAATGTTTCCTAATATTAATTGCATATCCTTTCGCGGTGAATACTTTTACCATGTATGTAATAAACATAACTTTTGCATGAAAAATCAAAAACTGTATTTTTAAATACAAAATACAGTTAGATTCAGAAACTGTATTTTAAAAAGGTAATCCTTTTGTATTGAGAATGGACGCTAGTCATTCAGGGAATTTTCATATTATATTGGTTATACATGCATTTTAAATTACAATACATTATGACACAGATTGAAACACTAGATGATAAAGTATTAAAACTATCCCAAACATGATAAAAGAAATTATATAAAGAAAATCCTGCGAAATTTTTTGCAAGCATAATTATGCACCATGCCTAAGATTAACCCTATTACCGAATTCAAAATGGTATAATCAATGTAACCTAAATTGTGAAAATACTGCAAATAGGATAGCAGATCTAAAATTTCACAAAATTATTTCATTGCTTTACAATCCTCTCGTGTTTTCTTTAAATTTCCTTCATTTTATTCGTTTACTGATATGTAGTTTTATTTAATAACATTTTAACAAACAGCTATCTACTTTTAGTGAGGCATGTGTTTATTTTATTAGTATTCAATTTTAGTTACTGATCATAAAGTCCATTGATGCAGACCGTAAAAATGGGAAGTTCGTCGTAAAGAATACTTTTCACCTTTTTATTTTCCTCAATATGTACGGGAACTCTCCCTTCAGAAAATAACAAATTAATTCATTTTTTTATTGCTTAGAGTTGATAGAATTATATTGGCGACTAGAAAATCAAAATTGTTACCTTGTTTATAAAACATTTAACTCACTGGATTAAGTAAATATAAAAGAAAAAACATCTTAACAAGACTTCTTAAATCCACTTAAGCAATTATAATGAATGCAGTTTCTTTAGATGTGATTTGAATGTATTAAAATTGCAAAAGTTTCCTAAAATACACTAAAACGTAAAATCACAATAATATATCATTTTCCTGTTTCGACACTCATTTCACATCGATAAGCATTAAAATCATCGTGTAAGCGAAGCATGAGCTGAAAGCAATGAAGAATGTTTACGTCAAAATTAAAAAGGAAATTTTAATTAAATGAACGGTATAATTCTTATATAGTTTCTATTTTTTCAGAAATTTGAATATCCCTATGCAATTTTTGTGGGCATTCCGGAATTTAAATTTAGTTACATATAGCAGAAATGCTATGATAGGTAAAAAAATATTGTTTTTACTACTTTATATTTTAGTGCGTATTACTGAAAAAGGTATAACTTAAGTTTTCCTTTCTATTTTATTCCATAGAAGAGGAGAGATTAAAAACGAAAGTAAAATCATTTTATGTTGTATGCTCCTACTGGTGCATCTCCTTTTGTTAATTCCACTATGTCAACAGTAATTAGAAGTTCTTTTCAACATATTTTCGTTAAGGAAATCAATAATTCCTAAGAGCCACTTTTTGTGAGTTTTCTCTGTACTCTAATGATTACCAACGTCATCGGTATAGTGTTATTGACGCTGGTTGTCGTAATGTCGGCCCCAAGTTCGAATCCAGTGGTAGGCATGGATGTTTGTAAGTGTATAGTATTTAGATGGCTCAAGATCACTTAAAAATAGTTGAAAATTATCCGGAGTGATTTGGTAGTAGAGAAAGAAGTATGCTAGACCCTGATTCATTCCTGCGAGAATTCTCCACTATACCTGGAATAGAACTATGTGATAGTGCGGTGGAGTATATCTATAGAATCAATGGGAACATTCTGACACACGCTTACTTTCTTCTGTCATTTCTCTCGGCAGCGATGATATTTTGCGGACTTAAGCTAATATTATTGAATATTATTAAGCTAATA